GACAGAAATTACCAAAGTTCACTCAAGAAGAAATAGCACTATGTACCTAGTTCCCTATTAAAGAGATTGAATTTTCAGTTGAAAACCTTAATATTGAGGTTTAGCATAATATTGAGACTATTTTAAAACTGTCAAGACTCGATAATAAGAAAACAACCCAGTTTTTAAAATGGTCACAATATTTGAACATACATTTCACAAAACAAGATAAACAAACAGCAAATAAACACACAAGAAAGATGCTTAACATTATTTTTATTGGTCATTAGGGAAAGGCAAGTCAGAACCACAATGAGACACCATTTCACATCTACATGGAATAAAAAGACTGACCATACCAGGTATTGGCAAGGATGTGGAAGAACTGGAACTCTTATACCCTATTTGCAGGAATAAAAAGTGGTACAACCACTCTAGAGAACAGTTTGGCAGTTTCTTAAAAAGTTAAATATACATATCATATGATCCAGCCATCCTCCTCCTAAGTGTTTAAGAGAAATGAAAGCATGTCTATACAAAATTTATACACTAATGTTCATGGCATTTCTGCCATATTTGTAATAACCCAAAACTGGAAACAGACCAATGTCAATAGGTAAATGGATAAATAAACTGTGGTGTATCCATTCAATGGAATACTACTCATCAATAAAAGGAATGAACTGTTAATATACACAGTAGTGTGGATGAATCTCTAGCCATGCTGAATGAAAACCTGGAAATACTGGATCAGTATGAGTCCAGATGAATACTGGACTCTTGCTGCTGTCCCTCCAACTTGGAAAGCTGTTACCCACAACTTGAGCAAACAAATTTCCACAAACTTCATGACTTAAAAACAACAGAAATTTTAGTATTATGGTTCTGGAGTCTAAAGTCTGAAATCAAGATTTTAGCAGAGCTGTGCTCCCTCCAAAGGCTCTAAGAAAGAATCCTTCCTTTCCTCTTCCAATTTCTGGTGGCTCCAGATGTTCCTTGGCTTGTAGCCACATTACTCTAGTCTCTCCCTCCATCTTCACATGGCCTACTGTTATCTCTCTCAAATCTCCCTGTCTCTCTCATTAAGGACACCTGTCATTAGAATTAGTGCCCACTCTAAACCCATGATGATCTTATCTTGAGATTCTTAATTACATTTGAAAAGACCTTTTTTCCAAATAAGGTCTCATTCTGTGGGTCAAGACTTGGACATACCTTTTTTGGGAGCCGTTGTTCTGCTCACTACAGCCATCCACATCTTCGGATTTCCAGGGATAAAGACATATACCCTAGATTTCAGGGTAAGGCTCGCATCATTATCACAGAACCTAGGATATATAGATAGGATCTAGAAATGTTTCAGCCTGTGAAGACCTTTTTCTTGGGCCTTCCTGATATCCCAGTGAGCTCTCAAAAGGAAATGATTTGACCTCTTTTGCCCCCTTCTGTTGTTATAGTGATGGCTTATAGCCTCTGGGCCATTCATATCATAGTCCAATTAATTTGGCAGATGGCTAGTGAACTCAAGGTCTTACTCAGTAGTCCTAGGTCTTGGAAGGAGGGAACATTTATTGAATCCTGAATCTGTGCCAAGATTTCCACTTTAATACCACAAAGATCCTACAAAATAGGTTGTAGTTTTCCCATTTTATAAATGAAGAAACGTTAGAGAACTTTTCTAATTTGCCCAGAATCATATAGTCAGTAAGTGGCGAGGCTAGGTAGGCTTTGTACTGAGGTCTCCTGGTTCCAAAGCCTAGTAATATTGTTACCATATAGGACTGGTATAGGAATGTACCATACCAGATAACCCAAGGAAGATGAGTTATCAGAGGCACTCATGAGTAAAACTTGTGCTTCTGCACTTAATATCATTACTGTTTCCTTGTAACGTCCCCTTGGTGATAAATAACTTGATAGTGGCACAAGAGTGGCACCCAGTGGCTTCAGCTAAAAATTACAAGGGTCAAATTATTTTACCTCTGGACCAGTTGCTCAGTTTCCATTTCTGTTTCTTTAAATGTATGTTTATTCATTTTTGAGATGGGGGATAGGCAGAGAGAGGGAATCCCAAGAAGACTCCGTGCTGTCAGCTCAGAGCCTGACACGGGGCTCGAACTGATGAACCATGAGATCATGACTTGAGCTGAAACCGAGAGTTGGTTGTTCAACTGACTGAGCCAACCAGACATCTCCTCAATTTCCATTTTTAAACCCAATAAAGTAGAATAGATGCCCTCTTGAATAATATGGAATAAAACCATCTATGGCCATTATATAGTTTATGTTGAAGTAGAAGAAATTAGAGAATATGTATTTAGTTTTATAGAAAATATTTAGGAAAAAGGCCATGCCAGGAGTGGAGATTTATAGCTTGGGTGTTGGAACATAGGACAGTGGGCCATGAAGGACAGACAAGGTAGTTCTCCAGGGCTAGTGTCACCGATGTATGTAGTGGCTGAAAATGTAAACCCATAAAAGAAGTGACAGGGAGGTAGTTTTCTCAGGAAAGGGACAGTTTCCCAGTGTGTGTATGTGCGTGCGTGGGGGGGGGGGGGGGGGGGGGGGGATAGACCAGAATTAAATGTCTCACAGTGTTAAATCCAAGGAGGTGTATCCTGAAGATAGAGCTGTCTCATTTGGGGTAACCTGATGATGAATGAGGGTATACAGAATTCCCCTAGGTCTGAGACCTTTATATCTGAGTGTGGGTATTTCCTTGGTGATACTAGTTTCAGAATAAGAGAAGGTTTTATCTATTGCTTGGGATTTTCCAGGCAGGAATGAAGTAAAAGAATAAGATTTCTCTTGGGGCATGTGGGTGGCTCAGTCAGTTAAGCGTCAGACTTCGGCTCAGGTCATGATCTTGCCGTTCATGGGTTTGAGCCCCGCATCAGACTCTGCTGACAGTTCCCAGAGCCGGGAGCCTGCTTCGGATTCTGTGTCTTCCTCTTTCTCTCTGCCCTTCCCCCGTTAGCGGTCTGTCTCTTATTTTCACACACAAAAATAAACATTAAGAAAAAAAAAAAGAATAAGCTTTCTCTCAAAGAAAAAAATGGAAATTTTCTTCATACTGTTTCTTTTTTCACACCATTAGGGGCATCTTTACAAATCTGTGTTCCTTGGAATGTACTTATATTTGAAATTTGATTTAGTGAACAATACATGATTACTGTTAACTACTACCATCCTAGTGGGTGTAAAGTAATTTTTATTTAGTTATAACTCACATACCATAAAATTTACCATTTTAAATTGTACAATTTAGTGGCTTTAATCACTGTGTTGTGCAACAGTCACCACTGAATTCCACAATATCTCCATCATGCCAGAAAGAAACTCTACTTATTTGTAGTCAGTCCCAATTCCTCCACCTCCCATCCCCTGGCAACCACCAGTCTACTTTCTGCCTCCATGGACTTGCCTATACTGGTTCACGTAAATGGAATTACAATAGGTAGCCTTTTGTGTCTGGTTTCTTTCACGAAGCATGTTTTCAAGATTCATCCATGTTGTAACATGTGATGGTACTTGATTCGTTTTTATGGTTGAGTAATATCCTTTTGTATGGATGTCCCATATTTTTCTACCCATTCATCAGTTGATGGACCTTTGTGTTGTTTGCACTTTTTGGCAATTATGAATAATGCTGTGAACATTTTTGGGTGGACATATTTGTAAATCTCTTGGTTATATATCTAGTAGTAGAATTCCTGGGTCATATGATAACTCTATGTTTAACTTTTTTAGTAACTTTCAAACTATTTTCCAAACTGGCCATTTTCCTTTCCCAACAGTAATGTGTAATGGTTCCAGTTTTCTACGTCACTACCATTGGTATTGTCTATTATTATTGTTATTATTACTTCTACCATCCTTGTGGGTGTAAAGTAGTATCTCATAGTGGTTTTGATTTGCAGTTCCCTGATGAATTAATACTGAGCATCTTTTCATTGGTTTATTGGCCATTTTGTATCACTTCTTTGGAGAAAGGTCTCCAACTCCATCAAACCCACTTTTAATTAGTTGTTTGTTATTTTATTGTTAAAATTACAAGAGTTCTTTATCCTGGACACAACTCCCTTATCAGATATGATTTGCAAATATTTTCTCCCATTCTTGTGGGCTGATTTTTCACTTTCTTTATAGTATTCTTTGAAGCACAAAAGTTTTTAATTTTGATGAAGAGGGTGTCTGTTTTTAAATACTTGTATCTTTGAAAAATAAGAAGCTAGGAGGATTGGGTTCTGATCTTAGTAAGCTTAGAGAAACTTTTGTTTCTTTATCCAAATTGAACCAAGTGTGGCAGGGCTTTGAAAGGCTACAGAAGACCACAAAATGTGCCCTGTGGCTTCCCAGGTTTGACTTCAGTCAGTTATATGTTGAGCACTTACATGTGCAAGACACTGTGCTAGCTATAAAATGATACAGGCACAATGAACCTTACCTTTCAAGGAATTTTAAATGTGGAAAATGGACACACATAAAAATGATAGGGGCACCTGGGTGACTCAGTCGGTTGAGCGTCCAACTTTGGCTCAGGTCACGATCTCATGGTTTAGGGGTTCGAGCCCCGCATTGGGCTCTGTGCTGACAGCTCAGAGCCTGGAGCCTGTCTTCAGATTCTGTGTCTCCCTCTTTCTCTGACCCTCCCCTGTTCATGCCGTCTCTCTCAAAAATAAGTAAATCATTAAAAAAAAATTTTTTTTTAATGATAAACAAGGGCAGGCAGTGCACCTTCAGAGCCTGAGGAACGGGGCAGATGGTAAGCAAGTGACAGAGTTCAGAGGAGGAAGAAAATGCCTGGAGTACCTGGAATGAGCTGCATGCAAAGGCTCTAACACAAGGAAGCCTTGATGATTGGGGTTAGGTAGGGGAGACCCACATAAGCAAAGAGGAAGAGGGAATTCCAGGTAAGGGAGAGCAGCCCTGTGAGGCCAATGAAGCCATCAGGCACACTTGTGTCACTGGAGCTTATTCATGTTCCCATAAAACTCACTTAGGACTTCTGATTTTTAAAGCAGCTCCTCCCAGAAAAAAATGCAGAGCAGAGCACAGAGGATGCACATGAGAACAGCAGTCCAGAGCTCCCTGCAGGTAAGGGATCAGCTTCTCAGGTGAGTCTAGGACCAAAGCTCAGAAGTAAAGTATATTGGCTTCAAGCTTTCAAACTGTACCTTCCACCACAGCAAAATCATGGGATTTGGCCAGCTTCTGCCACCACTATGGGTATTCTGGAGCAGCAGGGGGCATTCCCTCCCCAAAACTGGTATGACAGAACTAGAAATTCCTCATAATGTTGTACAGTTAAAGACAGCTGCACATGAAGGGGCAGGGCCCTGAATCTAACTGGTTCTTTTGTGTTTTTTTCTCATTACTGCTGATGCTGCTCTTCTCCCTGGTTTGGGTTACTACTCTGGGGCTCTGGAAGCTACTCCTGGGTGCAGGATACCACCTCAGTCTTGATGTATGTTATAGGGAGTGTGACATGATGGTGATTATCGTGGTCTTTCCCCCAGCTCCCTCCAACACTCACACAGCCTTCAGAGCCAGCAGCGGCAGAGAGATGTGTGTATGGCTGGAAACCATGCTAGCCACAGGTGCCTGAGCCCGATAGTGCAGGTGCCAGGCACTATTCTGACCTTTTAAGATGTTCTTAATGCTCTTAATTGTGAAAACAATCCTATGACGTAGTGTTACTATTTTCATTTTACAGATTAACCGAAGCCCAGAGATGTCACTAAACTTACCCAAGGTCACACAGCTAGTAAATGGCAGAGCCAGAATCAAACCTAGGCAGTCTGGCTCCAGAGCCAAGACTAGCAGGGTTGCACCATCAAACAAAACAGTACCTGGGCTGGAGGGGATTTGGGGAGTGACTTCAGCATCTATACTTAGTTGGTAAAACTCATCTTTCCAGGGCCACAACTACAACATGCTGCATGATGTCCAAACTTAGGCCTGAGAGGTGTTCCTGAATCATTCTGTTGTTGAACCACATTTTAAATGTTGTGGGGGCTGTTGCTACTGAAAGAACCCTGCAGTGAAGGCTGGCATAATAAAGCAAAGAATCTATTTTTATATATTCATATTTGGAGATTTAAAAGAATGGAAGTATACCACATACAAGTCAGTATTTATGCAGTGAAGAGTAAAAGAATAAGTACTTTCCTTAGAAGGAAGAAATTAACATTCTATCCAGCACCTTCTATGGACCCAGGAGGATGCTAGGCTTTTCAAGTGACTGCTCTGACAGTGACCCTTTGGTATGGGCAGCACTAGTCCCCTTTCACAACAGACAACCCAGACTCAGGCTGGGTAGAGTGTTCTGCAGGAAGATAATGTAAATTTCAGCCCATGCTTTCTCTACTGCAGTATAAGCCTTAAAATCTAGGCATTTATTATCTGGTGAAACTGCCCCACCCCCACCCCCCGGAAGACTGCTTGAGCTGCTCAGCTTTACAAAGCTGCAACTGCAGTCACCATCAATCCTATATCATCAATCCCACATGGTCAGTTCTGCTAAAGAAGATCACTGAAATCTGGATGATGCCACCATACATCCATGGTCCATTTACTTGTGGCCTCCAGCTATCAGTCCTTTGTGTCGTCTTTCTGGCCTTCTCATCAGCGGCTACTCCATTCTTTAACAAATCTACCCAGCCTCTGCCCCCTGACTTAGTCTCCTATTTCAAACTTAGTGCCTACAAACTGTATTGGAATGGGGATGCATCCCTGCCAGGCCTCAGGGGTGGCATTAGCCCTGTTGCTTTCTCAGGATCTGTGTGCATCACTTCTGCACCTTCAGTTTTCCTTCTGAGTTCTTTCCTCTCACCAGGGCAATCTCATTACTTAAAAAGGCAATCTCCCATGATCTTGAACTTCTTCCATTTATTTCTCTCCATCACATCTCAGCCAGGGTTTCTCAAAAAAGCAAGCTGTACCCTCTCCCTTTCTCCCTCCCAATTTAATTCCAACCCAGGGCACTTGCTTCCTCTGTGGCATCTGCCTGCAATGTCTCTTGTATGGGAAGGCTTTGTATTTACCAAATTGTACATTTATCTTTACTGTGACTGAACTATTTACAGAATCCAGCACTGTAAGACTGTGACTCACTCTATTTCCCCCTCTGAGTGTTCTCTTTAACAGCCTTCCTTTGGCCACCCCTAAACTGCTTGTATAGCACTTCTTCCCTAGCTGCTCTCTTCCATCCCAGGTGTTGAACCTTACATCTGGGCTCAAGACTCCCCAGTTGGCATGACCAGCCCAGGCCTCTCTGAGTGCCAGATGGGAGATTTATCTGCTCACTAGGCAGGCCCATGTGGAGGTCCCATTGTTACCTCTACCATGATTAACAGCACCACTCCTTACCCAGTTTTTCACATCTGAAATGAGATTCATTTAAGATGCCACTCATTGTCATGTACCACACCTATTCTGTCACCAAGACCTGTCGATATGACCTCATGAATATACTTCTGACCCCTAGTGGTGCCTCCATCCACCCCTGCTGCCTTCCCTCTCCTGGGTTCTTGAGATCTTCCTGCTTCTAATTTGACTCTAGCCAACACCTTTGACAGAATAATCTAAGATACAAATTAACAATGCTATCTCCAGTGCTTATTAAAATTCTTCACTGTCCATTTCCTAAGATAAAAATCTTAGTCTTTTCAGATTCCTACTATAACCCCTTCAGATTCATCTCCTAGGAACCCCCTCCCCCATTTTGTATTTTATGTACAATACTAATTAATGCCTTTGGGTATTTGCCTCTTTCTGCCAGGAATTCCTTTCCTCTTCCTTATTGGTCTGGCATATTTCTCTTCATCCTCTAAAACCCAGCTCAGACAACTCAGGGAAACCTTTCTACACCTCTAGGGATGGTTAACAGCTTCTTTCCGTGTTCTCTCCCTGGGCTCTGTACACACCTCTGCATCCCTCCTAGCCTTTGTGAGCTTCATTCATTGAGCTACATTCCCAGGATCTGCTCAGAAAGAATTTATGGATCCAGACTCCCTCTAAATTTGCACAAGTGCATCAGTTAAAGGTAAGGGAGGGTGCCAGAGGGCATTGCTCAACACAGTCTAAGCCACGAAGGGTGGGGTGAGGCTGACTTTCAGGCAGGGGGATCACAGCTTGCCAGGGAGGAAAGAGCTGGATAGTGCAGACTCCATGAGGAATCTGTGCAAAAAACGAATGAGCGGGTGCGAGACCCAAGTGAGGACTGAAACCAATCTTCAGCCTCAGTCTGTAGGTCCCGAGCTGCAGAGTGTTGATCCAGACAGACCTGATGAAAGGAATTTGAGATGGGAGGGCTAAAGAGAGACGGGACCAGATCCTCTCTTCTCCCAGGAGTCTCCAGCCGCAAGGGTCTTTCTAGCATAGGGCCGTGGGCGTAAGGTAAGTGGGCTTGTTTTCGCGTAGGAACCAGAGAGCAAGTGGAAAACAAGAGGCTCAAGAGAGACGGTCTCCGGCGGGGCAAGGAGGAGACGCAGGCTTTCCACTCTGCCAGGGCCCCGAGCCAATCAGAGGCCGCCGCACGCTGCACAGAACCTACAGGGGGCTCCCCGACCCCTAGCCGGAGCAGCGCGAGCCCCCGGGACGGCCTGGAGGTAACCGGGAGAGGGCCGCGCGGGGGAATGCGGAGATGGCCGCTGCCGATGGGTCCTCACCCCTGGCTCCCTTTCCTTCCGCAGGACTCGCTGTGGCTGCAGGAGGTCTCCAATCTATCCGAGTGGCTGAATCCTGGCCCTGAGCCCTAAACTACGCGTGCCCTCCCCACGCGTCCACTGCTTCCCGCAGCTGCTGCGGCCGCGTGCTGTCTGTTGTTCAATAAACCTGCTCCTCTCGCGCAGCTTCTGCTTCAGTGTCGGGGGCGGGGTCAGGGGCGGGGCGTCCGCGCTGCCGGATGACATCACCTGCGCTTGCAGTAGGCGCGGGTCGAGCGGCGGCGGGATCGCGTCACTGGTGCGCGCCGCGGGTCCGGGCGCGATGGCGGCGCTGGGCGGGGATGGGCTGCGCCTGCTGTCGGTGTCACGGCCGGAGCGGCAGCCCGAGTCAGCAGCTCTGGGCGGCCCGGGCCCTGGGCTGTGCTGCTGGGTGTCTGTGTTCTCCTGTCTCAGCCTCGCCTGCTCCTACGTGGGCAGCCTCTACGTCTGGAAGAGCGAGCTTCCCAGGTGCGGGGTCTGCGCGCGCGGCCGGAACCCGCGCCTCCGCGAGGCGGGGCTGTGGGCGGGGCTTGGCGATCCGGGGGCGGGGCCGCCCTGTCCAGAGGAGGCTGTGGGCCCCCTGAACTTAACTGCCCTCTCCGTAGGGACCACCCTGCAGTCATCAAGAGGCGCTTCACCAGTGTATTGGTGGTGTCCAGCCTCTCCCCTCTTTGCGTGCTACTCTGGAGAGAACTCACAGGCATCCAGGTGCGAAGGAGGCGGGGCAGAGGGCAAGAGGGGGAGGATCTCAGGGGTCCTGAGGGGAGAGAGCAAGACTGATGCCTCCTTTCCTGTGGCTCAGCCAGGCACATCCCTGCTCACCCTGATGGGCTTCAGGCTGGAGGGCATTTTCCCAGCAGCACTGCTGCCCCTGCTGCTGACCATGGTAAGTGCTCATTTTATATTTCCATTTACTAGCATGATGTTCCTTTTCGTGTGTGTGTGTCCCATCTTTTGATGGGTGACAGAAATTGTGCGATGGTCCTTGGCTCTTGGGTATGCATGGGTGGGACATCCTGGCTAAGAACAGGAAACTTCTGTCTTATGATTTCTTTTCTGGATTCAAGTAGTGGGACTATGGCTTAAGCCTTTCCTGTGATCGCTTGTTTTTGTCCCCAGATCCTTTTCCTGGGCCCACTGATGCAGCTCTCTATGGATTGTCCATGTGACCTGGCAGATGGTTTGAAGGTTGTCTTAGGTGAGTCCTAAGAGCTGAGGAAAAAGCAGGCAGCACAGCACAGTGAGGAAAGGGAATAAGTGGTCTCATAGTAGGACCTGAATACGAGATGGAGATGTTATCGATTTCCTTATCAGTAAAATGGGAACATGTAACAGATGGTCTGTAAGAGTTGGTTTCTGACATCCAAGGAAGCTCTTGGGAACCCCCAGCAGTGCTTTGTGTGGACTAAAGTGCATTGTCCCTTCTTCCCTTAATCTTTGGCTTCCTCAAACCAGAGCTGGTCTGGGTGCTGCTTTTGATGTTTCTAGAATTTATTAACAGAATACCCTGCTTCAGCCACTCATGCCTTTTCTTTCAGTTCTCTAGACATTGTTTTACACCAGGTGTGATAACAAAGCTTGACTCTTAAACGTGTCCTTAGTATTGACGCCTAGCCTGAGTTTGGCAATGGAAAGGCTGTGGGAAAAGGGTTCCTTGGGGCCTCTAGGAGTTCTTGGTTCCATACTGTCACTGATTACTGGTCCATCCCTTCCTTAGCTCCTCGCTCCTGGGCCCGCTGCCTCACAGATATGCGTTGGTTGCGCAACCAAGTGATTGCCCCCCTGACTGAAGAACTGGTGTTCCGGGCCTGTATGCTGCCCATGCTAGCACCGTGCACAGGCCTGGGCCCTGCTGTGTTCACCTGCCCGCTCTTTTTTGGAGTTGGTAAGTTTGTCTAACTTGGTTCTGTTGAGATGTTCCCAGCATGAGAGCCAAAAATGGGATTTGGAGCAAGGGTATGGCCTATAAGGCAGGCATAGAGGAATGTGACATGGTTCTCGCCTTCCTTCCAGCCCATTTTCACCACATTTTTGAGCAGCTTCGATTCCGCCAGAGCAGTGTGGGGAGCATCTTCTTGTCTGCAGGTGAGTTTTAGAAAGCTTGCCTGGGGCAGTCCGGGGTTAGGGTGTGTAAGGGTGTCCCTCATAGCGGTTTTTGGAAGAATTGGGAACAGAGGGCTGTAGTATTGGAAGGGCCCCTGGCCATGGGAGTTGGGGTGTAGACGACAGCCATAGGTGCTGGGCAGGCAGCCACTGCCCTCAGGGGGAAGGGGAGGTGTCTGGCTGATGGGTGTGCAGTGCTGGGGCAGGATAGAGCATGCAGGTGTGGTCACTCGAGGCCTCCCCGTCTCCAGCGTTCCAGTTCTCCTACACAGCTGTCTTCGGCGCCTACACTGCTTTCCTCTTCATCCGCACAGGTTGGTCCTCAGTCTCTCACGGGTCCCCGGGGACTCGGGCCCACAGGAGTGGGTGGGAATATGGGAGTGCTGTTTGTTGTAGGAGTGACAAGTTTCTTCTGCTATGGTGTTTGGAACAGGCAGAGCCAGGGCTGTCAGGCTGGTGAAGTCTGAGAGGTAGAAGGGAGCAGAGGCCATGTGGTGTGTGTGGGCGGTCACTGACTTCCTATTTCTGGGATGTGGGTGATTAGCCCTGGAAGGGCCCTGGGAGGTGGTGGGACTGCTCCATGAGCTACTCTGTCTCCCCTCCCTAGGACATCTGATTGGGCCGGTTCTTTGCCACTCCTTCTGCAATTACATGGGCTTTCCTGCCGTTTGCGCAGCCCTGGAACATCCGCAGAGGCGGCCCCTGCTGGCAGGCTATGCCCTGGGTGTAGGACTCTTCCTGCTTCTGCTCCAGCCCCTCACGGACCCCAGGCTCTACGGCAGCCTTCCCCTTTGTGTGCTTCTGGAACGGGCAGGGGACTCAGAGGCTCCCTTGTGCTCCTGACCCATGCTCCTGTATATGCTCCTACGAACTCTCACGGGCTCCCCAGCCCCTCCCCATCAAGGGGTACTGCAGGGGAGGAGCTGGCTGGGGTCCCCGAGATCTCAGGAATTTTTGTAGGGGATTGAAGCCAGAGCTAGTTGAATCCCAGGGACCAAGAGAAAGGAGCAGATATCCAAAGGGTGCAACCCCTCTCCAAAGGGGGTTGAGGAGCAGCTGGGAGTGAGGGGACAAGGGGCAGGTCCCAGGAGCCGTACACTCCCTCCCTCACTTTGGACTGCTGCTTTTCTGAGCTCCTCTGCCCCCCCCTCTGCCTCTGAAAAGCTGCTCGGGGGTGGAATTTACAAAATCCCTCCCCCCAACTTCCCAGGGTTTTCTCATTGTCTTTTTGCATCAGGTCTTTGTATTGAGATATTAAAGAGATTTAACTTGGGTAACATGGCCTTGGACCTTTGGGAATCAATCTGTGAATGTACCTACCACCAGACTTGGCTGCCTTGAACACTGACCTCTCGGTGGGTTGGCCTGGTGGGCACAGTTCCCTGAAGGACAGGATGGGGTCCTCTGGCTGCCTTCCTCCTTTCTTAGCCCTGCCCCACATCTGCAGGCACCAGATGTGAACTCAGTTCATCCTGCGGCCTGTGCCTTGGCTCCCAGGGTCTGGGAATGGAACCTAGGGCCCTGACCTCAGCGATGAAGCCTCCAACCTGTATCCTCAGTGGGCAGAGGGTCAGCTGGGGCCTCCACAGGACCTCCCCAAATCTACTAGCCTCATATTACGCAGGAGAAAAGAAAAGGTTCCTGGTAGAGGAACCAGCTCACAGTCACCTGGGAGTAGAGGCTTTCCTGGCTCTCTCTGCCTTGGATCTCTGCCACCGTGCTGCTGGTCTCGTCTCTAGAGGAACTCAAAGGCTGCACAGCCCTGAGAACAGCAAGGACCCTGCTGAACAACACCGTAAGTCAAGGTTCTTTCTTAGAACCTTCTAGTGTTGTACCTGCCCTTCCTCTTCTTTTTAGTATGGTTCTCCTGTTTTCAGGTCCCACTCTAAACTCAAGGAGGCTGTCCCAAGTTGAAAGGAAATGGATGTACAGTCACTCCCCAGGCACCCCTAGTTTGGCTGTGACTAAACTACATTCATCTGGATCTAAAAGGTCATCTTGATAGTCACACACCTACCTTGCTGTGGAGAGCCTTCCTTCAGCCTGTGTAGCAGCTCTTGGGGGCGCAGATGGGTTATGGGGTGAGTGTGGGACTGTTTCAGAGGGTACCTTCGGGATCCAAAGAGGAGGAAGCCCAAAGCTGCCCCCAAAATTAGGTTGTGGTACCTGAAGAGTACTGGGTTGGCAGGGTGCTGGGATGTACTGCCTGCCTAGTCCTCTGGAGGTTGGGAGATCTGAGCTCAGCTCCTCGCCTTCCTCCTGCTGTTGCTCAGAAACTACCCTGCACCCCCATCTTACCTCACCATCCTCACGTCCCCTGCAGGGGGTGGGCGCAGGCAGCAGTGCAGTTACACATGCAGGATTGTGAATCCCCTGCAGGTGACAGATCCCCCTGAGAGTTTGCTTATGGGAATGGGCAGGATTAGATCCTGAGACTCTCAATCCAGTGCTAGCCTCCCACTAACATCCTCCCCCAGAGGTTCCCACATCCAAGGGTTTTTCCCCCCTCCCAGAAATTGGTGCCTGTTCACATCCAGTCCTGAACTAATGGGGTGGCAGGTTGGTCTTGAGTTTGGGAAGTAAAGCAAATCCACTGACAGGTTGGGTGTGAACTCTCCTCTCCCTTTTACTAGCTCTGGGGTCCTGGACAAGTTATTTAACCTTCCTGGGACTCCCATTTCTGTGTCCATAAAATGTGATTGATTTTCTGAGTTAACGGGTGTTAAATGCTTGGAACAACACACCCCTACCCAAGCCCTCCATGCATCTAACCAATGCAGTTTGGGATGTGTATACCATAGGCACTCTGTAGTGGCTGAAACCAAGGCCATTATTATTCTCCCTAGCCTCTAAGGAGGATACAACTGAGCTGCCCCCGCCATGAGGAGTACCAAGAGGCAGCCCTGCCCCTCTGCTGAGTGGAGCTTGGGAGTTGGGGTGGGGGCGCTGCACAGGACCCAGCATGAAGGGCAGGGGAAGCCAGTTTTATTGAGCAAAGTTCTTAGGACGTGGAGCCTAGCTCTGCCCCAAGAGGTGGGATCCC